ACATAAAGTACATAGACTATGGTAGAATGGGCGGATGAGGAAAATGAGAAATATCTCAGGCTATAGTGTGCTTTTAAGCAAAAGGCTGGAGAAAAGGGGTCAAAAATTGAGCTCCATTAAACTACTATTTCAGTTTAAAAGCTCATATCAAAGGTGGACTATTTCCTTTAATGTTTACAGCCCCTGAACAATAACCATTGCAAAGGTCACCGGGGTCCATTGAAACGGCCTGTGGCCCTGTTTCAACTGACCCTCAGAGAAGCGTTTCAATTGACCCCATCCGCTCCCGCCATCTCGCACGCGCCGTAAAGCACATGTCAAACGAGCTGGAGGGACGGCATCATGCTGAATGAAGGGCCAAATAAGGTGTTATTCCGGAGCCAGGAGTTCTTCTTTCAGCAAACAAAGGTATATGAGATATCACAAAATATTCATAAAAACGATTTCTCCCAAACGCCCCTCAAAAACACAAAAACAAGTGTCAAATCAAAATTACCGTCCGTTTGCCGCCCAAACGCCGTTGAAAAAGGAAGTGGTCGAGCGCGGATGCGCAGTGGTGTCGGCAACGCCATATGTTGCATGCTGTTGAAAATAAAGCCATGTTTCATCTGACCCCGTGTTTCAACTGGCCCCGCTCTCCCCTACGCACGTTGTTCTCAACGGTCATCATCAAACCCCTATTCTGACGCATGGAATAGGATGCTGTGTTTGCTCAAGGATGAGCGTTGTATCCGACCGACACCGTATTATTCATAACATTTTTGGAATGATCGAAAAGGCAATTTCCTTTTAAGTTATTATTTCTTTTTACTCAAACTTGCAATTTCACACCAAACCCAAACCAAACCATATGCCATTTTGAGTACCTAAATGTTGCGTTTTCAGCTTTTTATTGTGTCTCAAAATAGCTACAAAAAGACAACTCATCTAGTAGAAGCTTTACAGAGAAACTGACAGATCGAACCAAACAAAGCACTAAAATAGGTCACTGACATCCACGGACGCAGCCTTTTTCAATGTTGGGCGGCTCTTATAAGACAAAAAGGGAGTCGATCCAGGAATATCGACCTGTCCCGGTCACGTAGCTCAGTCGCTAGAGCGTTGGACTCCGCGTGGCGAGAGCACGCGTCCCGGTTACAACAGTCCGAGTTCGAAGCATGATGGCCGCTCGGTGTTTATGAGCACCCTGACGGGTACGCTCATAAACGGGTGTGGTTGCGGTTGGTGGCAGGCGAGTCGAAGACAATGAGGCCAAGCAGTGGCTTTGAAAAAGTGCGCCGAAGGCGCGTAAAAATTTCGAAACTGAACAGGATTTGAGAGCAATCTTGGCATTGGCGACCATACGCGGGTCTTAGGGTTGGAGATTATGGCAAGTTAAGTAAATGGTAAATACCTACCTGATTTGCAATATTACGCCCATGGAAGTCAACATTCGAAGAGCGTGAGTTTTCTTTTCTCGTATGGAGACAGCTTTTAGGATTTACAAGAGTAGAAAAGTTACCCCGGCCGCGCCGGGGTAGGCTGAAAGTTACCCCGGCCACGGCCGGGGTGGCCGGGGCAGGTTCTCCACCCATGGTAAGGCGTACCGATGAATAGGTGCCAGAAACAGCTAATTAAGGCCATTTTCCATGATTGGTGCTGGTATCCACCAAATAGGTGCTGAGGACCAATTTTGGGGCGAGTCAGCTTTTAGGTGCCAGAAATAGCTTTTCTGGGACGCAATTAAATGGCGTCCATCGTAAAGTGAGGTTGATGAGGTTTTTCGGGGTGCTGATCACGAATATCGTGTTAGTTTTGATCACATATGATGTCTTAATGCATTTAGGCCAGGTCAGGTCAGGTCAGGCCAATCAGTAGACGTCCTGCCAGGTATTCATAGTACGTGTCAGCCGTTACTGACAGCTTCGTAACATGTTACGAAGGCACCAAAACAACTTCGTAAATGCTCAAATGGTTGCTTAATTCGAAATCAGCTCCAAAAAGTAGCCTAGAAACATGTAAAACTTGAAGAAGTGAACCTAGGTCATCAAAGGTCAATGATCTGACCTGACCTTCAGGTGACCTTGACACCCACCAAAATGCCTGGGACCAACATCATATCACATGTTTGAACGCTTGAAACCGCAAAAATACTGCAAACGCGCGGCTAATACGAGCCGACATACGCCGAATCGCGATTCCGGCCAAACATGGTCTCGAAAAATAGGCCACAGGTCAAGGTTCAATTGGGACAGGGTCATGAACTTTTAAGGGTAAGTGTACAATTGATTGACTCGACAGTACTGAAAGGTTCATCGCGATCAACCGCTTTTTACGCGAGTTATTCGCGAAAAACCATGGGGGTGGGGGTCCGTTCGACCCCCCCCCCCCCCCTATACGGGCGAGGGTTAAGTCAGTTAAATTGCTTTTGCAGTTTTCAATTTAATTTACGAATTATGTTCCGGCAGCTATGGTCAAAATGAGCAGAATGCTGCTCAATGTACCAAGCGCAACTTCGTTCTCCGGCCCGTAGAGAGCGGGGATGTAAGTCAGGCACGGCCTTGGCCGTTTCCTCTGGGGCCGCGCCGTCTGCCGAGGGAGGGGAGACCTTGCCCAGTCTGAGGGAGGGGGACGACGGCGCCACCGGGACGCCCCGTCGCTCCGAGACCGGCGCTCACTGTATAAACAAGCAAAAAACGCTGGCCGTGCAAAGCTTGGCTGTGCTTTGACAGAGGAGGCATCTAGTGGAATATTTCGTAACTACACAAACTTCTAACAAAGATGTCGCTTGAAGCGCAGTTGAGATTGTAGGTTTTGATCCAACTGAAAATTGACATCTCAAGGGCGACGAAATGATGTAAATTTATATGAAATGGTTTTGTATGATGCGTACTTTGATTAATGCCATTAATTTTCCACTGCCTTTTTGTGTGAAACGATTTTGTACCTTGCGATTTTTTATGACACGATTTTGTATGCTGCGCTTTTGTATGTTTTGACTGTCCCCTACCCGGCCTGTTTTGTAGGTTTTGCGCGTTGTATGTTGCGATTTTGTATGTTTTGATGATTGTATGATAAGATTTTGTATGCTTTGATATGGAGCCACCAGCGTCACTGCCGGCGGGTGGAGCGGTCGGCCGCCGACGGGGCGACCCTCACCGCCGGCGCCCGCCTCTACCCTTCTGGAGCGCCGCCTTCTCTCAGCACTCCTGGCCTGGGCTGGACAGCCGCTGCGACGTGAGTAGCCCTCCGGGGAACGTGTCATGCGGTGGGGTGAGTGAACGGTAGCGCGGCGGGGGTGGCCTGTCTCTCGTGGAGGCTGAGCCCCGGCGCCCGGCGGCGCACTATCTTGACCGCCAGAAGTGCCAGAACAATGCACCCCCACGCCCTGCCCCCTTAATTTCTTATATCCTACCGAGACCGACAATGAAATGACCTCGCTAATCGCTTACTGAAAATCGGAAATCTACAAAACAAACAAACCTTACCTCCCGAGTCCCGCGGTGCCCCCGCGTAAGGCCGTACTTACAAGAGCTCTCGCGGGCGGCAGCCGCCGATAGCACCGTCGAGATCGACATGTTTATTTCCTAAATATGAAACTATGACGTCAGATTCCATTCAGTCCGCACCGGGATTTTCGAACGTGCAGCGCGAGATGCAAGATGCTGATGAATAAGCAGGCGGTTAGTGGGGGACGATTGTTGTCCGGTCGGTCGATTGCCCAGCTTTGCCGCACCAAAAAGCCTCTTCAACGTTCAGCCGCGCCCGCCGCCGCTGTTGTGCAGGGGACTGAGGGAGCGCGGGAGGGACCCCGGAGGGCTTAGCGAGTGCCGAGTGGGTATATATCTGCCTTGGCCGAGTGCAATAGTGGGGACTGGGGGCTGGGACATTTTGATACACTAATTTAGAGGGCTGGTTGAGGTGTCAGGTGTGCGTGTGTGCGTGTGTGTGTGCCGTGCGGCTGTGATGGTGCGCGTACCCAACGCGTACCTACCTGCTACATGTCCTCATATACGTGACGCGGGATATGCGTATAGCGCAACGCGCACATGACAGTTAAAGGGACCCTCCCACCTTCAAAAAAGTTAATGAATTGGCATGAAAGTGATGTCGCTCGGTTCAGAAAGAGCAAAAATGAATATCTACCAAATTTCATCGAAAAATATTCACCGGTTTTCAAGATATTAGACTTTTACTTTTGTTTACTTTTTGGGATCTCCGCTGTTCCTAGCGACTTTATTTGAAAGTGCGGCATTTGTTGCGCGCAAAGCAGCATACACTGTAAAAAAAGTTTACAAACTACCGTGTTAATTGCTCAACAAAAAGATAGTATTAAGACACACAAAAGCTGAAGATAGCAATGAGGTTAGTAAACGGTTTGTATGTAAGCACATTTATTTGTGGTAAACAAACATATAAGTTACAAAACTAAGCCAAGGTGTGTCAACTAGTGGTGTGTCAGCAAGCACTATGCGTGTTTTATACACTATATGCCACACTTACGCAAAACGTGTTTTCGAACAAACTATACATAGCAGGGGACACTAACATACGACCTTTTGTACAACATGTACCTTTGTGCTAAAACACACTTGAAGTTATTTGACAACTGCGGTGCAACTGCGTCACGTCCGCCATGTTTTTTTCGGCGCGCGTCCTTTGGCTTGTGCGGCTTGTGCTGTGTCCGCGTCGTGCGGGTCTCTGATGGTGAGTAAGGTGTTGCCAGATATAAATTTGATGTAATTATGCTTCTGTGTTGTATGCCTTGAATTTTGTCAATCGATTTATCTTTATTCGGTGCTAGTGATAACCGTGATGATGCAATGAATGTTGTGTGAATGAGGGACAGCATTATGACCACCAACTGTATCTTAGCAAAATATAGGTTAAAATATAGGAATTCTATAGGTTATTACTGAGGTTACTAGGTTGCTGTAGATTATACTTTGATACAGCCCCCTAATTATTTAATTGCACATGAATAAGGTGGCCCAGTAAGACAAACCCGACAACTATGTCTAAGGACAACTCTAGTAAGATCTGTCTAACGCATTTCAGGTGGCCTTGCAGTCATAGGATAACCTTTATTGGGCAAAAACTGCCCATTTTTGTTCACCTAAAAATATTTTTTATTTAAAATTTCTTTACGTTCTTTCCTGTTCAGTGAAAGTTGAAATGGGCATCATTTTCTGAAATTTATTGGTAGGGTCCCAAATGATAATTTTTGCAACATTGAAGCATGGGAGTTGCAACTTGCCACATTCTCAAAATGACTGGTGAGAGTCAATTTAATTCAGGAAACAGGTTAACTCCCCTGGTTCCGCCAGTGTATAGCTGAATGGAACTTGCATATAAAGGCAATCATTTAAGTATTCGGTTCCAAGGTACAGGGGTGGCAGAAGGTGAAGCACAACAGGGGAATGTGCCACACAAAATTGTGGCTGGGGCACCTGGGTCGAAATTTCCAATAGTACCTTACCTTTCCGCTGTGGCTAGATTAGTTATATCTATTGATTAATGTTAACCAATGGTGTTAACTTCAATAACCACCTAAAATAGCCAGAAAATTTACACCTAAACCTGAAGGGTATAGGCACATAGCTCGGACAAAATATAACCTAACCTAACCTAACCAGACCTAACCTAACCTTACCTAACCTAACCTAAACTAACAAAACCTAACCTAAACTTACCAAAAATACACCTACAACCTACATTGGCAACCGAAAGCTACTTGTGCCGTTATTGAAAGTAGACTAAATTAACTAATAACAGGAAAATCAGCATTTAATTAGCTTTTTGATGTTTGCAAATAACTAACAATGATATTTCACATCGAAAAACACCTATACTATACCTACATTATTACTAATGTTGGAACAGGTACCGTTGGAACTTTTCACTGACACCCGACATTTAAAGAAGAGCATATGGAATGGAAGATGAGTTACCGCATTATTGCAGATAAAATTGTTAACATTGATTTTCTTCTATGGGGGTTTCAATTCTTGGGGATGCTTTTCTATGCGAGAATTAGATATTTACTTTGCCCTTACATCCTGAGGTGCCTTCCACGGTCCGCCAGTGGCCCGGGAACGTTTGAAAAGTTGAGGGGGCAGGTTAAAAAGTTGAGGGGGCAAAAGTTAAAACTCAAAAGTTCTATATTTCTTTCTTTCCATGCAACGCCATAAGGCTAATGTTGAATTTTCCCGAAAGTTGGAGGGGCGCTGCCCCTCCAGTCCAAAAGTGGGAGGGGCAAATGCACCTGCTGTCCCTCCTCTTCCCAGACCTATGCCTTCTGCTGCTGCAGCTTAGACATGTAGTTTAACTACCCACTGACTAAGAATGCAGTTCACATTGCCTTACTTTAATGGATCACAAGGTGAAACTCTTGATTATCACTTGTCTAGATATTTAGTAATCCAGATACTTTTGATATCGATCAATAGAGCAGCTCACACTTAGTGTGTGCTGTAAAATCTGACATGGGAGATGTGTTAGGCAAGGGAAAAGCAAATATTTTAGGCCCACCCCACTTCAGTTGGGAAAACAGTAATATGTTCCTTTTTTTAAAGCTTCTAGCAGGGGCGACGCCACGGTGCAACGTCTGGAGGGGACATTGACCATTTTGGAGGGGACGAGGACCATTTCAAGTCGATTCTTTCCATGCAACGCCATAGGCGTAATGTTAAAATCTTTAAACAGTGGAAGGGACGAGATCCCCTCCATCCCCCCCCCCCCCCTGTGGCGACGCCCTTGGCTTCTAGGGTGGCCACTAAAAACTTACATTCCGAAGTGAATTTCGGCTCACTTCGGCTAGTGCAGAGGCGGGCAGAGGCATTCAGCGTTATGCCTCATGTAGCCACTTCGTCATATCCCGGACGTCACAGATCAGCTTTCGTAGCCAAGATACCTATAAGAAACAAGAAACTTCGTAGCCGCCGTTTCTAGTCGGAATGTAAATTGGCGGAAATGGCCAAGATAGGCCAAGGTGAAGGAGTTTATGCCCTGGTTTATGGCGGGCAGCATTTTTGGAAATCTAGAATAAAAATTACGATTTTTTATTTGAAACAAATAATGTGGGTTACACTGTAGGTTTTTGGGCAAGTCACTGTAGTATGAATCAACAAATTATCTTCCAAAAATAGCAAGAATGCAAAGCTCTCCGGGTTACCTTGGCCGTTTTTCCGCCTATTATATTTGGGCTATCTCGGCATTTTCGACACTACCGCGGGTAACTACTGGCCGCATGACCGGAGATAGGCCTGTTTATCTTTAAGAATCAGTAAAAAAGGAGATTTGTTTGTACAGTGGCTTGCAAAATTAATTTTTGATAAGTAAATCCCTGGCCTAAGACCTATCCCTTTTCGCAACTAGCGAGTAGACCGCATCATCAAACATCCGTAGGTTGTAGTTTAGATATAGTTAGGTTAGGTAAGGCTCTGTTAAGTCTGGTTTAAATATGTTTATTAGTCCCATTTTACTGTTTAAACGACATTTAATAGTATATTTCATAGTTTTACTGATATTTCCTTTTTGGTCTTATGACGTCATTATTGCCCACACATTGCATATGTAGTATTTTTCTTTTGTGAGTCATTTCATCCTTGATTAGGCGCGCATTATTGGCATGACCCCGTTACGAGAAGATTTCAATTTTTGTCGATTTTTATATATTTTAGGTGAGTTAGTTATCAAAGTGTTTAATTTTTGATGTTCTGTGAATAATTGAAAGCCATCAAAGTGTGATCTAATGCACTGAAAGCCATAGGTGTGGGAACAGGGGGGGGGGGGACGGCCGGGCCATGGCCCACCCACCTTTCAGCTACGTTACAATCAGATCGGATACTCAGCTCGACTTGCCCCCCCCCCCCCCACTTCTCAAAACGTCCCTACACCTATGCTGAAAGCCATTTTTGGAGGGTGGTGTTATTTTCCAAAATTTGACAAAGCCTTTTCCGTCCCGATTTATGGAAGTTTCATCCCTATTTTTGGAAAATGCCCTTCTATTTTTGGAAGAGCATACTAAAAAAAATGGAAGCTTCCAAAAATGAAACAGATGGCCACTGCCACTGTTTACCCAACTGATTTCCAGTCTGCAAAACATGGCAGGGAGCTCGACAAGATTTTCAGGGCAGACAAAGTCCTGCCCCGAATCAGAATGCTGAGTCCAGGGGTAGCCCAATTCCTGCCCCTAATGATGCAAATAATGTAATGATATTATGATGTAGGAAGCAGTGAGAAGCTGAGAAAATCACTTCCGTCAATTTTTTAAACTTCTGCACCAGATTTTCCTGCTTCTGCCCCAGTATTCCGGAAACCTGCCCCTATTTCTGCCCCGACCTGCGGTGTCTGCCCAGACAAGATCTCGTCGAAGAATGCCACATTTTGCAGACTGGACCAGGACTGATTTAGTGTGGTGATCACCCAGCTATATCACTATTGTTAGCAGGATGATTGGTGTACCTACCTATGTATGGATGGATGTATGGATCAACTTCATGATTTGCCAGCTGATTTGGTTATCAGTATTGTGATCAGCCAGCTGACAGCCTTTTCAAAAAGTTGTTCAGCCAGCTGACTGCATAATCATTTTCATGATAAACCATAGGGCTGTTCGGGTGCTGCAAAATATTTTGCGCGACTGTGACATCACACTTGTATGATGTCACTGCCCATCCCGTCAAGCAAAATCTTTCGCAGAACGCACCGAACACCTCAACATATTTTGCGCGAGACAATCGTGCCGCTCCATTCCAGCAAGCAGCGACGTAATAACTAATGAAAAACTTCACCAACCCATTTCCAATTTATGCACCGACAAAATAACACCAAACACTGCATAAATTCACTAGTTAACACTGCACACTTCGCCACTGTACGTTGTCTGCGCCAAGTCTGCACCACTTTTGCCTCCTGCATCCTGAAATTTTAGGATGCGTGAAGCTGAAAGATTTTGCAGATGCCGATGTCACACATATGACGTCATACGGTGGTGGGCGGAGCATAAGGCCTGAAAGGTCCCTACTGCGCATGCATGCTGCAAAATTTTACAATAGGATGTGCGGGCCGAACAGCCCTCATCATGGAGGGCATCTTTTCCTTATCATGTTTTTGATTGTGTTTGGGATCTGGCTACAGGTGACATAACCTTTGTGAAATTTTGTGATTTTCCAAAAGTGCTGCAAAATAGGCGTAAAATGATCACATTTGTGATTAATCACATTTGTGATTTCCTCCCCGTAGTTTGCCCAACTGAATCATAAGTCATAACAGGCTTTCCTCTTTTCAGGCAACTGTAGAAGTGGTTCTGCGTTGTACAGTTCCATTATGTCTGTTTTCTTCTAGCTCAATTGCTTTGTTTTGTCAGCATATCAATAACCACTTCAAGGATAAATCTGAGAACTGCAACTTATTTCTCTGTCCGCGTTGTACACAAGGGTTCACAACTGGACGTTACTGGCTGAGACATTATGAAAGAACCCATGCTGTCAAGCAAAGTACGTCACAGTCGCACAAAGAGAAAGGAAGGCAAAGTCTGGAGGAGTCACCTTCAATCAGTACTCATTGTCAGGAAGAAGCTGAGGTTGAGACTGAGGCCTGGTGCTTGGATGATCAGGGTGAGAAAGGCTCTACAGCAAAAACTGAAGACAGTAGCCGGGAGAAAATAGCACGTTTCTTGCTTCGATTGCAATGTGAGCATGGGATGTCACGGGCTGCAACATCTTTCGTGGCTAGTGAGATAGGAGAAATCGTCGACACCGCTCTTAAGGAGCAGAATGAGAGCAGAGCATCAAAGTCGTCTTCAGTTAAGCAGGCTTGTGAAGAGTTTGCAAGCGAGTATAAATTGAGCAAATTCTGCCATGAGGAGCTCTGCTACATTGCACCTACGACTCAGATCCTTACCACAGGGGGTGGTGAATTCCAATCCAGCTATCAGTATGTGGATGTCAAGAAACAGCTGACAAGTCTCTTGGAAAATGGCAGGCTGGAAAACTGCAAACGGGACAGATTGGTCAAGCTTGTGCTCTACTTTGATGAATTTGGTGTGTGTAACCCTCTGCGGAAGAAAGCATCTGATTATAGTCTGGGTGGTTGCTATTTTGCGGTCGATGAGGGCTTGTCAATGTCGGTGCTGAGTGACATTCATCTCCTCCTACTATGTCCTACAAAGCTCATCAAGCTTCATGGTTTGAACACAGTCATGAAGCCTGTGACAGATTCCCTGTGTGACCTCTTGAACAATGGCCTGGATACTTGTGGCACTCATTTTGATATCAAAGTGGAGTTTGTGTGTGGTGACAACCTGGGAGTGCATAAGATGGCGGGCTTCCAGGAATCATTTTCGTCAGGGCAGCGACCATGCCGAACATGCCACGCCACAAATGAGGACTTTGGTACAAAGCTCACAGAGCAAGAGCTGACCCTTCGTACTGAGGAGGAGTACCAAGAAGAGCTGAACATGTGTGAGAATGGAGACAATGAGGAATCACGAAAAGCATTTGGTATCAACTCAAAATGTGTGTTTGATGAGCTGAAAGACTTTAAGGTCACAGAGATGTTTCCACCAGATATCGCGCACGATCTGTTTGAAAGTGGCGTAGTCAATCATTCCTTGGCTCTGGTGCTATCATACCTGATTTTTCAAATCAAACTCTTCACATTCGCCTCAGTTCAAAAGGCTATGAAATCCTTCTCATATGCGAGAGTCGACAAAGCGAACACTCCTCCCATGCTTCAAGCAAAGGGGCGCAAAGTGCTCGTCAAAGGCACTTTCAGTCAGTGCTGGACTTTCCTCCGAGTTCTCCCTTTCATGATCGGTCCACTGGTCCCACCAGATCAAAAGGCGTGGCTTCTTGTGACCGGTTTGCTTTCTCTTGTACAACTCATTTGTGCTCCACGTATGGACGGTGAAATTCTTGCAAGAATGCAACCTTCAGTAGAGCAGTGGCTGCGTGAGTTCTGTGGAATGTTCCCGGACTTCAAAATCAAGCCGAAGTTCCACTACTTATTACATTACCGGCACTGGGCAGCACAAATTGGTTCCTTGAGGAAAGCTTGGACTATGCGTTTTGAAGCTAAACACCAGCAGTTCAAGATCTACGCATCTCGAGCACACAACACCAAGAACATTTGTAAAACCCTGGCAGTGCGACATCAAGAAGCGGTAGCTGCATGCGAAGGAAAGCAAAAGAAGATGATGGGGAAGAAATGCAAGCCATGCCTAGTTACAGGTGCATTCGGATGGGAGGTGGATGACCGAGCTACGTACACCAAGATGGCAGTGCTTGCGGGACAGAAGTACTGCGTCGATGATGTGCTGATCGTGAGAAACCCGGCTGCTTCAAGCTCAGAGAGCTGTGATCTTCTTCGCGTAGCATATTTTCAGTTTGATGCAGTAAACCATGTCAAAATCATCGGTGACGTCTTGAGGGCGCTTTCGTTTGATGAGCACTATATGGCATACCGTGTGACTAAGGGCGAGATGATGATGATCCCTTCTGCTTGGATTTTTGACCCCACTCCGCTGGCTACTTATTCAGTGCAGACCGCAAAATACGTGCCCCTCAGGTACCAGATACCAGGTCTCCGAATCACCTCTGAAAGGTGAGTAATCTGTGCATTTTGCTTCAATTTGAAGTATCAGATTTACTGCGAACTCGCGACTGCTTGTATTGAGCAGTATTGCAGCTATTTGCTTCGCTGTTATGGCTATTGTGAGTGCAAACTTACACTCACTCGGGTCTTACACTGGCTCTGATATCTGACATGTAGCTAGCGGCCAGTTATGTGGCTTCCACGCGTCCATGGGGTGAAACTATTGCATGAACGCACGTGCACACACCGCCCCTATATCTCGGGAACGGATGAGGCGATTGTGCTCAAATTTGCTACGAAGGTAGAGACTGATCCGACATGCAGCTTCGACAACACTGGGGGCGTCACTGCACGTGCTTACCCCACCTCCTTCGAGCCGGGTCTTGGCTTGAATAGATTCGAGGCTAATTGCTGAATCTTTTTTGAGGATGGAGATGCTAGTTCGGAGCATTGTGTTACATATGATGATGAAGATGATTAGCCAGATGCTCATTATTTAGGATCAAAATTGATAGAATAGTTGTATTACGTTTCACCCACGGGGCTTCTTCGGATACATATGACAAACATATGTATCCGAAGAAGCCCCGTGGGTGAAACGTAATACAACTATTCTATCAATTTTGATCCTAAATAATGAGCATCTGGCTAATCATCTTCATCATCATAATTGCTGAATCTCCAGTCGTTACCTTCTATCCGACATGACGCGTGTAAAATACTCTGCAAAACCTCTCTTTTGCTCGGTCGTGCACCGCCCAGAAGGCGTTATATGGTTATAAAACGTCGTTTTCAGCGTTCTGGATGACATTCAGAATCGGCATTGTCTCAGCTTTTCAAATAAGCTATGTCTGTCTTTTAGGATTGGGATACCCGATGTTATCCAACCACCCGTGAAGTGAGCTGTGCAACCCACGTGTCTAATGTGTGCGTAAATAGTAAACCATGTGCTGTTTCGCTTGCTGTTTCACCCACTCCATGGCTATCGATGATTTTAGGACATTGTAGTTAGATAATTAATGTAACCACTTGTCATATTTTTTTCAGCGGTCAACGATGAAGGCGCTAGTAAACCATCGAAGTGCTGCGCGCGTCTTCGAATTCGAGTCTGTCCTGGACCTTGTTCAAAAGGTTCGAGCGTTCTTCGGTCTGCAGGTTAGTTTATTGTTTGTTTGTTTGTTTGTTTGTTTGTTTGTTTGTTTTTTTTGGAAGAGTGACGGAATAATTTTAGTTAACGGTGGGACTCAATGTCGTGTTTCAAGTAAAAGGCTGAAATAACGTTTTTTTTTTTGCTCACAGACCTTAAAATATAGTACCTAATAGTATTTTGTACTATATTTTAAGGTCTGTGAGCAAAAAAGTCCATATTATGGAAAGTATAATACAGCGGCCTCCGTAAAACAATACCATTTGGAGAAAATTTAATTAATGACATTAAAAAAAAAACATTTATTTACACAATTTGTTTAAGGTAATGCAAAGCCATATACCTACGTAAACCATGATGTTAAGCTGCTGAACGAGGCTCAGATTGAAAATAGGCTGATGTGTTGGAAATACATAGTCTATCTCAAATGCAACATCAACCATTTACAGCAGCTGTTGTCAGTAGTCTAACAGGAAAGAGAAGAGTGCAACCAAAGGCTCTATGATTATGCGTAATGATTGAGTATGAAAATGTCGGATGTGTTTGCCTATCATTTCCATCCCCCTCTCCACCTTGGAGCGACTAATGTGTGTGGTCTACTCCCGACCTGGCTACGAATGAGGTACATGTTTTGTCCCCAGGGTGGCGAGTGGGATCTGGAGATCTATGATGACGACTGGTCCTCGTGGGTCCTGCTGAATGAGGAAGATGCGATAACTGGTGTTCGGCCTCGCATCAGGACCGTCATGCGTGGCGATCTGGTTGTTCTTGAAAGGTAGGACATCGATCTCTGTTAAGTTAGGTTGTTTTGAGAAATAAAATGTTGCTTACGCAGAATGCAGTTATAAAACTCTAAAAGAAAAAAAACGCCCATAATCATTTGCAACTGAATTTGCTCAGTTGCGTTCGTAAGTATTGAACAAGCTCGGCCTATGAATGTTTGCGTAGTTGGAAATTGTCCTGAAAAAAAAAATATGTTATCCTAATCTGGTATTGTATCAAACATCTTCTCTCATCCATTTTCAGCACTGGGACGACATCCACTTCGTCAGTGGTGGTTTCGCAGCTGGATGCACCGGAGCCTCCAACGTCGCCCGAACTCCGTCGATCAGGGGAAGACGCAGAGATCCGGCCGAAGTCGGGAAGCGACGCTCTGGCCGAATCTCAACAAACCGCAGGAGTGTCTCGGTGAGTCTGTCAGGCTGACTTTGTCTTTATGCGTTTGGAATTAAACCTTTCAGCGCTTGTTTAATCGGGTGTGTCGAGTTTTCATCGTTATTTCTACATTTATTTTAATCGAATGAACCACAGGCCTCTATAAACCTCAAGAGTTCTATGAATGAATCTGTATGAAAAGTTACGTAATTTTATATATTTGTTAGTAGATCGACAGTCTTCCTTCCCGCGGATCGCTGCGCCGAACCGTGCCACCCAATCCCAGCTTGTCCACCAGTTTGGTTGCCTGTTGCCAAAATGCTCCTCAGACAGGTGACCACTGGCACTGACATCTATTCCGATCGCGAGGATAGACTATACTGCGCCGCGGCAAGACTTCGACTGTGGTGACTAGGCGCAGTAGTCGGTCTCTGGTGCGGCGACCCACCAGTTACTAATGCCATTTCGGTTCGTTTTCTTCGCAGGATGGATACTATGGAAGTCCTGGATGCCATGGAAGTGATCCGGTTTGACGACAGCCAGCTGAGACCTGGACTCCTCGAAAAGCTTCGAAGCAAAAAGCCCGGCTCACCTCTGACCAGGACGGAGTGGAGCGAAGTGACGACAGTCATCGTGACGTTCGAGAAAGCTTGTAACAGGTATCATCCCCGTAGATAACGTGGTGTTGTTGTAGCGCGGGTTGAGGACATTGAAGTTAACATAAAATACTATTATCATGCATTTTTTGGTACATTTTTATTCAGCCCTAGCCGTAACCCGCGCCGGGCCGGTACTCCATTTGTAACACAGCGGGCCGCGGAGCAGGGGGTTTACACCCCCCGTCTAACTCGACTCCTGAGCATCGTTGAGACAAGCGATAGGCGGCGTTCGAAAGAGCGTTAAAAACCAGTAGGAAAGTAATTTTGGTCATGTTTTGGTCAGACCAAAAACTAGGTCACCAGAGGTCACCGAGGAAAAAATGTTCTTTTTTACTTTTGATAGTTTTTCTTCAATAACTTTTGATCCAGAAAAGATAGAGGCATAATTCGCACGCCATTGTTCTCAGCTCGTCAAGGCGCGTTGAATGATATATAATATGACCTCAAAAGGTCAAGTTGAAAAGTTGACCTCAGGGCAAGGTTCATCTCATTCGATGCGCATTGACGAGACAAACACAATAATCGTCGAACGGAGTTTATCTCAATTCAATCAAAAGTTATTGCACAAAAACCGCTTGTGACCTCAGGTGACCTCGGATGACCCAGTGACACCTTCCTGCCTTCCACCTTTATGTCGGTTTTACTGTCTCGTGTGGTGTGCTTTCATGTTTACATATTTCCTTTAAATGATGTCTTATGTCTATGCCTTGCCCTGAAAACTCCTGTTCTAGCGTCTCCAAGTCGTTAAGCTCTCCCATGCCCTTTCTTTTTCCAAGCGTCCTGAACCTTACTCATGCTCGGTACATGGAGCTGGCTGACCGCGCCCTTGTTCAATGGCCGGCGCTGCACTTTGGGTGCAGCCCGAAACAGGCACTGGTAAGCACTTATTGCGTTGCTGTTGGATTCCATCAACTAATAGAAAATGACATCGGTCCAGGTCCGGGACAGTTCGTGAACTTATCTAATCGAACTCAGCTGAATATACTGAACGGAGGCACTTAGTCACCATGTCCTGAATTGGAAAATAGGTAATTGAACTGAACCTCAAGTAAAGTCGATCTGAATGAACTGAACTGAAGCGTTTGCGAACTGCTCCGGCCCTGGATCTGGCCATACTTGTATGTATATTCAGGGCTGCGGAGTCGACCAAATTTTAGCGACTCCGACTCCGACTACGACTCCGTCTTGAAAAAATCGACTCCGACTCCAACTCCGACTCCGACCCGCCCTACTTTGACATACCTGCATTACCAATGTTTCTAAATATGGGCGGCTTCTTCGCACTGGTTTAAATGCGGAACAATAGTGGCTAATTTGGAATTAAACTAAACTTCACTTCAAAATTAGTTTTCAAGTTTATTTCCTAACCCGCGCTGGGGTGGGGGTTTGAACCACTTTCGCCTTTGGGGTAAGGTGGGAGTCAGAATGACCTCCCCCACTCCCTGTCCGTTCAACTTGAAATCCAAGAGGACTAGAAAGACGAGACAAAAGCAAACGAAAGCTCGTAATGAATACTTGCGAAAGTGCTCTTTGGACATTGCCAGATAAATGTCCCTGTATGTCGGAAATTATATGGGCTATATAGCCACAAAGAGAATAATTCAACAGCTCTTGCGACCCTATTCAACCGTTTTGCATTCAGTTAACGGTTCGGGCTCCGAATGTCTTGTAAGGTCAGCTTGTAAGGTCAATGTGTTGGTCAACATCGCGACAGAGAAGGAAAATATTAAAAATGTGCTGAAACCGACTCCGACTCCGGCCCGGAGTCGGAGTCGGTGAAAAATTATCGACTCCGACTCCGACTCCGGCCAAAACTACCGACTCCGGTCGACTCCGACTCCGACTCCGCAGCACTGGATATATGCATAATTATCCATGTATGTATGTATGTATGTGCTATACTATGAAGTATATGTTTGTATGTATGTAACTATGTATGTCTGCATGTGAGGGTTGCAGAGTCAATGTGTTTTTGAGTGACTCCGATTCCGATTCCGACCCTTCGGAATTGTCTCCGACTCCGGAATCAACTCTCACTTGATGACTAGTTAAAGTCAGCATCACAAACGCATAAGGATCAGCTTCATGTGCTTGAAATGCGTGCCTTATATGGTATTGGCAAAGGACAAAGGTTATAAAGTCTACGAGTAATTACGGAGTCGAAGTACCATTTAGTTCAGCCTCCGTGTGAACCATGCATTGCCTCTATATACCAGCTGCAGTGGATGTTGAACGCCCTTAACGTTACATCTACCCTTGGGTTGTAATTTATGCACTGCTTTTCCTGTCTCAGTCGCAGGTCAAAGCAAAAATACAATGGCGCGTAAGGAATGAGAAGCGACGAGACGACGGAAGTGATGCCGAACTCCAAGCGTCATCAAAGAGGTTGTCACGCGGAAAAACATTCAAGGGATCGCGATATGAAGGATTCGAAGGCTACAAGGGTAAGCATTGTGCATTGTGAAATGCAAGACAGCGATGTAGTATGATGTAGTACATGTGACTGATAAGCGACTAGTGGTGAATATTTTGCCCTTCTGCAAGCTTTGCATTGCATATATTAAAGGTAGTGTGCCACTTTGCATTGGCCATATGAAGTTATTGGCATGGGCGAAGAGAGCGGTCTCTCTCTCTCTCTCTCTCTCTCTCTCTCTCTCTCTCTCTCTCTCTCTCTCTCTCTCTCTCTCTCTCTCTCGCTCTCTCGCTCGCTCTCGCTCTCTCTCTCTCTCTCTCTCTCTCTCTCTCTCTCTCTCTCTCTCTCTCTCCCCTCCTCCCCCTCCTCCCCCTCCTCCTCCCCCGCTGGCTCTAACATTTCGTATGAACATTTTGACAGAGTACCTTCCGCCTATGCCGGAGGAAGACGTTCAGCATCTGAGAAACCGCCTCTTGAAGCATCTACACGAGGCTAACCTGACGAGCGAAGGCAAAGCTGAGCGAGAGGCCCTGATCAACTCGACGTTCGCAGACAGGCGCAGGCATGTGGTGACGCTCCGCACCAGCATGCGCAAGCTTTTGGAGCTGTATCCAATCTTGCGGAACCCAGACGAAGTAAGTACTAAGTATGCCTTGGAAGTTGTAAAATTGTCATTATATTCCTACTCTCTAATTCCATAAAATGTCCCCTGTGTGTTGCATCGTTTCGGCTTTTATTCGTCGCCCACCATAGCTTTCTGACGTTTTCTCATCCATGGAGGATTCTATAATATGACTTAACTGTCCTCTAATTATATTGTTGATGCCGGTTGTTCCAGATCTGGCGTGAGCTGGCCAAACTGGAGGGGGAGACGGAGTCGTCTAAGCTTGGTGACTACAGGCGCCGCCTGAGCGACTTTCTCACCGCCATCCAACTGATCACAGAATGTCAAGGTAAATACGGTAAACCATTCACGTCAACTATTGCCCCCCCCCCCCCCCATTACGACCATGCAAGATTGCTGCCGAACTACTAACCTATGGGCGACGTGAGACACGTCTCTGCTCATTACTTTCAAATCTAGTACCTAGCAGATGAATGAAAATTAAATTCAAAATACTACTGACTTGTGTCGTGTGCTTTGTCTGTGCATTGTTTATCCTTGTTTTCAAAACGCTCTTAACTAGTTAGGTTTAAGCGTGCAAATTACTCTGTGACGCCTGTTTCTCTCGCTCGCTCTTTCATCGCCCATGAGGTGGCTCACGGCTGTTTATTTGATCGAATTAACAGTGATATGGTCAAAAGCAGCCAGCTAGTTCAGTATGCGTTTCATAAACGTGACACCTCTTGGGCTCGTTCGTTCATCGCCGAACAGGTGTTATACTGACATTTGTGCTGTTATACTTCAGCGACCTTTATTGGATTGGCGAATCACTTGATCCTTGACCTGACGACCAGACCAGTTTTCACATGACCAGGTGAAAACTGACCCTCCCCCCCCCCCCCAAAAAAAAAATAGATATCAAAATTTGTGTTGTTAGCGGCATGGTCTCGAAATTCGAGGCCTTGGTGGCATTTTATACGATATCCGTGAGATCGGAAGAACTCAAGCAGCTAGCAAGTAGCAGTGTTATACTGTTAGAGGTAAATATCAGTCTGAAAATTTACCTCTATTTCAGACACCGACTGCGTGGAGTCTCTCCTCTACTACCTAGACGCGAACCCCGAGGACATCTTTGAGGGATCAGGAAGCGCGCCGCACTACCAGGTCAACGACGACGGGTCCATCGGCCTTTTCGTCGAGGGGGTTTGCTTGACAAGGTCGGTGGACCGGAGCAGCAAGGCTGATCTCCTGCTTCTGTGGGCAGCGATTTTCCCAGTGTTCAACCAGAAGTGCCCCGTGTCTAAGGCTAAGAACGCTCTGATATTTATCACGGTGAACATCTTTGAAAAGGGGGGCAACCAAACTCTTTCCAACCGTGTCCTGGGACGAGTCCAGCGTCTCAAGCAGCTCTGTGCGTAGCTCTGTGAGTAGCTTAGAACGGAACCTGAGAACGGAACGCCTTTGCCGCTCGGCTGTTAACACTTTCAAACCGTGTGACACGTCCAGCGTCTCGAGCAGCTCTGTGAGTAGCTGAGCACAGAACTTGATAACGGAATGTCTTTTCCGCTCGCGGCAGTTAACCCTTCGAACCGCGCGCCCTGGGACATGTCCAGAGTCTCAAGCATCTCTGACTGCGTAGCTCTGTGCCTATAGCTTAGAACGTAACTTTAGAACGGAGCGCCTTTGCCGCTCGGCAGTTTCCTACAGAAGATTACTTTTTTAGGTTCATTTTTAGTACAATAAGAGAAATATTACTGTTTGCAGTTGTAAGCTTGCTGAAAGGAGCTTGAATGCAGTTTTGAATAAACATGTTTGATGAGTTTAATTCGATTCGTTTTTTTTGGGGGGGGCGGCTGTGAAAAGAGGTGACTAACACGCACATTAGTTAAGTTACACGCCTGTTCTCAAAAATGCATTTAGTTTATTAACACGCACAGCTTAGTTAGCTAACACGCAATATGTGTGTTTTGCGTACACGCATATAGCTAGTGAAAAGTGGCCGTGTGACAAACACATGTGTTACCTAACACGTCTGTAGTTATTAACAAAACACACCGATGATAGTCAATAAACACGCTTACACGGCTTATCTTAGTAACCTGGCAAATATTCGAAAACTAGGAGGTGTGTTTCAAAACACGCTATTCAACCTTTTGCGTGTAATTGAAAACACACTTAGTCATGAAATGCGTGTTTTGCTTACACGCCTATGGTTAGTGAAAAGTGGCCGGATAACTAACTAGTTGGTAAACTTTTTTTACAGTGTATACCACCGCGTGCTGCCAAACGTTTTAGTAAAAGATTTAAAAATCGTTAGATCTTCGCTGACGTCACAAATTCTAAGGGGGCATACCAATGCATTAGCCCCTTAGAATCCGAAAACTGCAAGTTTGAAATTCCATATCTCCGAATTAAAGCATTTTTCGATGTTGTGAATGCCCAAACCGGTATTTTCAGGCCATGGCCACCAATTTGGGCGGTGGCTATCTCAACTCAAAACTAATGTTAAGGTGGGAGGGTCCCTTTAATGATTCTGCACTGCAGTGCATCTCTTAACCCTATTAGTGGCAGGCTCCTGGCCAGGGGCGGATCCAGGAATTTTCGGGAGGGGGGCGGCAAGTTGAAATAGGGGCGACCTGGCAATCCGGGGGCGCCAAACCGTCGTCAAAATCGAGAGTTTAAAACCCACGCCGTGCGTTGTCACGTCCCCTAGGTTTTTCGCAAATATCTTTAAGACGGCTGCGCGCAGCGCCGCCGTTTTAAAGATATTTGCGCCCAACCTCTGCTTGGATCGCCCAATCCGTCATGGGGAGGCTCACTTTGCTGAAGTCGCCTCATTTCTTCTAAGAACGACCAATTTGCTGTAGGCGGCCCACTTATCTGGGACGCCCATTTTTTTTTTTTTTTTGCTAGAAGTGCCCCTCTTCTTCTTGATGCGTCCCGCTTCTACTGGGAGTGCACCTTTTCTGTTAGGGCACGCCTTTGCTGCTGGGGAGTCCCTTTTTCTACTGTGAATGGGGCGGCCCTTTCCTGTTCGGCGACCCCAAATTCTGCTGGGGGCGCCACATTTCTGCCCAACTTTTGCTGGGGTGCCCCTCTCCTGCAGGGGCACTTATCTTTTGCTAGAGACGCCTCTTCTGGGGGCGCCCTTCCACTGCGGGGGACGTCTCTCTCCTGCCAGAGGCATCCCTTTTCTTCCTATGGGGCTCCTCTTTTTGCTTGGGCGGGCCTCTTCTGCTCGGAGCGGGGCACCACTCTCCTTTTACTGGGGCACAGCCCCTCTGCTGGGGTTGCCCTTCCGCTGCCTCAGGGGCGCCCCTCTTGTGCAGAATATACTCCTTTTCTTCTTGTAATGAGGCGCCCCTCTTCTACCGGGGGCGCCCATCTGCTGCTGGGGCGTCTGTCTTCTGCCGGATATTGTCAATGGGGCGCCCCTATCCTGCTTGGCGAGCCCAACCTCTGCTCAAGGCTTCCCATCTCTGATCAACTTTTGCTGTGGCGCCTCTCTTCTGCTGGGGCGCCCCTCTTCTGCTGAGGGCGCCCCTCTCCTGCAGGGGGCTCCTCTCTTCTGCTGGGGCGCCCCCCTTCGCTGGGGCGCCCGTCTCCTGCTGGAGGCTCCTTTCTCCTGCTGGGCCCCCTCCGCTGCCGGGGGAGCCCCTTTTCTGCCAGTGGCACCCATTTTTTATCATGGGGCTTCTCTTTTTCTTTGTTGGGGCGCCTATCTGCGGTTAGGGCGCCCCTCTTCTTCTTGGAATGGGGGCGCCTCTCTACTTTTGCTGGGGCGTCGCTCCTCTTCAGGGGGACACCTCTCCTGCCAGGAGTGCCCCTCTTGAACAGAAGGCATTTTTTTATTCTTGTAATAAGACGCCCCTCTCCTGCTGGGGGCGCCCATCTGTTTCTGGGGCGACTCTGATCTGCTGGGAATGGGCAATTGGGCGTCGCTCTCCTGCTTGGTGAGCCCAACTTCTGCTGGAGGCGCCCTATTTCTGCTCAACCTTTGCTGTGTCGCCTCTGTTTTGCTCGGGGCGCCCTCTCTGCCGCGGGCTTTGGGCGCCTGGATGTCGGGGGGGGGGGCGGCCGCCCCCGTCGCCCCCCCTGGATCCGCGCCTGCTCCTGGCTACACACACAGAAATATTGAGCGCAAAAACGGTGTAATTGAAAGTACCAAAAGGAACAATTTTTGGTGTAAAATAACTCTGTTTTCTGGGTAAAAGAACACTTATATGTGCGTTTTGCTAGCTTCGGAGTGTTTCACTATTGTGTAGGAGAACCGCTTTCAGTGTAACTTTACCGCGGATCTCGCGTTACATTTACGCACAAATATGTGTTTTTGGTAAAAAGTACCAAAAGGAACACTCGCGTGGTAATCGTACACAAATTCATGGCGGTAAATTTACACAAATATGACGGTTATTATAACGATTTTTTTCTGGTAAAGCTAATGTTGGGCCCGCAAAATTTGTAACGCAAGCGACACGCGGTGGGACGTTGTCGCCAGCCGTGAGCCTAGCTAAATGGAACGAAACATTGTGATACTCAATGCCTACCCCATGCTGCAAACATATTTATTTGTTTGTTTGTCGTTTATTTATAAGAATCGACATCACATCTGACGGAATAAAAGTTAGATTAGCGCAAAAGCATAACCTTATCATATACATAAGCTGACATTTCACAACGCATAGGCGCCGCTACAGGCCGCAGCCACCGCACGTCTCCCGTCAACTGCCCGTAATTAATAAATAAAAAAAAATATGTCTTCTGTACGCACTACTTCACTGTGCCAAAATTATCGTTCGTTTCATTAGCCATCGGCTCTCTATTGCCTATCTGGCAAAATGTTAGTATAACTACACCTAATCAACCCTAGAAAGCATAAAAGTGCATCCATTATTTTCATAACACGACAGCAGTTCAGTTGAAAAATTACAAGCCCACCTTCAGCACTCCGACAAAGCTGGATCATTTCCAGCAGCTCCTCTAATGTCGCTCCGCTTCAGGTTTCAGACTCGGTCTTGATTGCAGTTATCAGACGATGACCACAATGGAGTATTTAACTTATTATTCACTTATTCACTCATTACTTAGCTTATTATCCAACTAGATAAACACCATAGCACTGTTTTATCTCACTGATCGCACAAGAATGGGCAAACCGACTCTGCGCACTGCAGCCACAACACTCCCCCGCCGGCCCCCGCGGTCCCCGGCGCACAACTGACAGATTGCGAAAATGGCGCCGCCGCCGTCAGCGTGAGCTCAAAATTTCGCTACATTTACACGGATCGACGTAAACGAACGGTGCTCTGGATGTGTACCGCAATTACCAGTGCGACACAACACTCATTCGCGTATGGATACACTTGCTTTGCATAGAAACATATCAGTTAGGTATTTGAACATCTGTTATGCTGTTAGGTACATTATCCTGTTTTGCGTAAAGATGCTTGTGTGGTGTAATAAAACTGCCGATGTTTGCTAGTTAACCAAAAAACATCGTATAAAAACAAACTTATTCTTGATGCCTTTACTTATTATGGCGTTGTGCAACGGATACCTTGCTTATTTATCACGAAAATACTTAAACTAAAGATATTTTACTAAGTGAAGCAGAACTTTGAAGCTATTTGAATTATTTACGAGTATATTGAACTTGACATCGCTCAATATTTCTGTGTGTATACCACTATTAGTGGCAGGGGGGGGGGGCTGTTTACGACCCCCCCTTGATATCTCGAGATCTAATGGGCCGATTTTCAAAATTCAAACGGCATTCGATTTTGCTCAACGTGATCTACATTTTTAAAAAAGAAAAATTAAAAAATGTCAATAGGGGGGGGGGGGTAGAGGGGGGTAAAAACGGGCAAATTGCAGATACATTTTAGACTGTTTATCACGGCCAGGTTTCTGAACCAATCTTAACGCAACTTTTGCCGATCGATAGAGAATGAACCAGGAATTCACATGGATCCTAAAAATATGCATTTTCAAAAATCATAGGCGGATACAGATCATTGAGATTGGGGGTACACAAAAAGTATAGTAAATAAGGTTTTTGTTGGTACTGTTTCTAAAAAGGGTGGTAATGGTCTTGTTATGTTACAATTGTTATGTTACAATGACTACAAATAAATTAGTGGATATTGGAGCAAGAAGTGACTATATTTTAATAGAAAAATGAATGATCTCTCCGAAAATCATGCCATTAGCCAGTAATGCAGTGGCAACCATAGAGCGTGAGCAATGACGGCTCAAATTAAGGGGGTCGCTAATTAGGCACCTTATCCTACGTTGCCAGTCTTGTTGTGGTTATAAAATGTAAACGTAGGTACGTTCAAATATATGAAGTGTTCGCTCGATATTATGATGAACGTCAAGGTCACTAAAAGGTCAGGTTAACCCTATTCCTGGCGGGGGGGGGCCTCAGGAGCCCCCCCTGAGGTTTTTTGGTTATTACTCCCAAACGCGTTGAGCTAGGAAGCTCAAATTTTCTGACTTTTCCTAAAAGGCTTCTACGCAACATGTCTGAAAATTTTGAGTTGATCTGACCTCAGGTCAGGTCACCAGAGGCGGTTTGGTGACCCTACCCCAGAAAAGTTTGCAATCACGCCAGAGCTAGAGTTTTTGACCGATCAATTTCTTCTCTTCAGGCTTTAGTTAGGGTACCAGTATGTGCAATTTGTATATCTCGGAGTTTTGATATCGGTGACCTAAGGTCAGGTCAGTTTCGCGACCTCCCCATTATAAGTCAATGGGGGAAAAATCAACTCCCTGTTTTTACCACTAAAACGGGTCGGAATGGCCCCATATACCATACATGACTTC